TGTTTTTCTTCTTTCAGCCTCTTTGCACTAGGATACAATTTCAATTACAAGGCTATCTGTTCATTTTGACATCACCTTCATTTTTTTCTGTCTGATTAATTATGATATTGTTTAATAAACACTTGATGAAGAAAGAAACAAATCAGACCAAATGAAACAATGGAAACAAGCAAAATGAGTGCTGAGGGGACAAAGGAAGACATCCTTATTATCCCAAGACTCTTACCATGATAAATCCAAGAAATGGTCACTTAGGACTCCTTGCCCTTGAGCTGGAAACCACTTGATAGCATTTAAATCTCTTCCTGCATTGGTCCTGCTCTTTGCTCTGCTTGAACAGCTAACTCCATGGCTAACAGCTAATACCATTGCTAAGGCAGTATGGCAAGTTTGCCCTGTAGTGATGTACTGCCCAACAAGTCTGGGAAATCCACATGAACTGGGTCATTTATTTTTATTTTATGTGCATTGGTGTTTAGCCTGCATGTATGTCTGTGTGAGGGTGTCAGCTCTTAGAAATACAGACAGTTGTGAGCTGCCATGGGGGTGCTAGAAATTGAACCCCAGGTTCCTCTGGAAGAGCAGTCAGTACTCTTAACCGCTGAGCCATCTCTCCAACGTCATGGATCCATTTCTTATGGTCCAAAAGCAGCGTTATGGCTAGAAGTGCACTCTAGGGAAAGAGGGTGGTGAGCACATATGAGGCTCTGGACTTTCTAATCACCTCCTCCCCAATGTGGGGAGGAGAGGGCGGCGGTGAGTCAGGACAGATTTCCAGCATATTTTCACATGTGAAAGGTCAAACTCCAAACAAGTTTTTTTCTGGGGGAAAAAGAGAAGGCAGCAGAAGTGCTATACCCATGGTTTGTGTCAAGGGTGTTTCCAGAATGGAGTAGTTATCCTTTAGCCTAACTAAGGTTTGTGAGATTCATTCTAGAACTCACAACGCCCACTACTAAGAAAAGTGTACATTTTTCTCTACTTTAACAACATGAACTTCCTTGGTTGTCTTCCGTCTTAACAAAATAAATAAAATAAATAAAAATAAAAAATTTTTCTTGTCCTCCCAGCCGTCCTAGTCTTTTGTTTTTCTCTCACAGTTTACAATCACACTTGGTAAAATGGCCTCGGTCCTGTCTCCCCTGTCTTACACAAATACCGTTGTTTCAACTGGTTTCCATCCAGTCTTCGTCAGTGCAGTTTCACTGTTACTCAGCTCTCTGAGAAGGGCTAACCCTTCAATTTTTCCTCACACCCTTTTCTTCACACCCCATTTGCGGACAATGTTGTCCACTTCCTGAACCTATGACTGAAGCTCAAATCTCTCTGCACATGGTCACCTACACCACCCTTACATGAGCCAAAATTAAATGTGAACAATAAGCAAAAGATCTGAACAGGTTCAGGGCACAATGGTGCACACCTATAATTCCAGCACTCAGAGAAGCACAGGCAGGTGGATCGCTGTGAGTTTGAGTCCAGCCTGGTCTACAAAGTGAGTCCAGGATAGCCAAGGCTACACAGAGAAACACTGTCTTGATAAATAAATAAATAAATAAATAAATAAATAAGTAAATAAATAAATAAATAAAGGATCTTAACAGGCATTTCTCAAATAGAGACATAGAAATGACCAGCAAATGGATAAAAAATGCCCAATATTCTTACTCAAAACCACATGAACTACCACCGCATGTGGGAATCAGAATACCCCATACATGTATATCAGGTTTGTTTGTTTATTTGTTTGGGTTTTTTTTTTTTTTTTGAGACAGGGTCTCTCACAGTAGCCCTGGCAGGTCTGAAACTTACCAGATTGTCCTCAAACTCAAAAAGATCCACCTGCCTCTGCCTCCCAGAGTGCTGGGATTAAAGGCATGCACCAATCATGCCTGATTGAGTTAATATTCTTTTTTTTAATATTTTTATCATTTATTACTATTTATTCATATTGTGTCCTGACTGTGGCCCCCTCTCTCATCTTCTCCCAATCCCACCCTCCCTCTCTCTTCTCCCCTTATGCTCTTCCCCTAGTCTTCTGATAGAGGAGGTCTTCCTCCCCTTCTATTTGATCCTGGCCTATCAGGTCTCATCAGGACTGGTTGCATTGTCTTCTGTGCACTGGCAAGGCTGCATCCCACAGGGAAAGGTGATCAGAGAGCCAGACACTGAGTTTATGCTGGAGAAAGTCCCTGCTTCCCTTACTAGGGTACCCACTTGGAGACTGAGTCTATGGGCTACAACTGAGCAGAGATTTTAGGTCCTCTCCATGCATTGTCTTTCATTGGGGTATCATTCTCTTCAGGGCCCCCAGAGCCCCACGGCTCTGTTAGTCTCCTTTTGGAGCTCCTGTCCCCTCCAACTCTTTCTATCTTCCCCTTCTTTCATAAGATTCCCTGCAATCTGCCCAAAGTTTGGCTATGAATCTCAGCGGGATCATGTTGTTGTGTTTATGGCTAATTGAGAGTCTTTTCAGTCTGTCATAGTGTTCAGTATTGTGCTAGGACCTCACATTTGCTCACTGTTCATTCACTGTTTCAACCAAACCAAACCCCAGCCCCGAAAACTCCTTTTTGACAGACTGCTAAGTGCGCTGTATAAAGACACTTGTTTGGGGAGAGGGGTTGTTTTGGCTTGCTGTGGTTTTAGTTTGTTGTTGTTGTTATTGGTGTTGTTTTGTTTTGTCTTTTTCTTTTTCTATAGTTTGTTTTTATTTTTGTAGTTTTATAACCCACAAAGGCCTCAAACTCACTCAAAATAATCCTCCTGCATGAACCTCCCAAGAGCTGGGATTTCAGATGTAAGCCACCATAACTGACTATTACAAGTGTGTATGCCCCCTGCCTTTATTTTTCTGCAAATGTTTCTAGTTTTATTTTTTTTCTATTTTTTTAAAAAGCTGTTTGTTCAAAGCTAAACTACAAACAAGCACACATCAGCCAAGGCCCTCACAGAGTGAGAATAATCAATATCACTGTCCACATCTTGCCCTGCTGGAGGGCCCCAAGGGCATAAACACACTTGGAGTTGTCATCCCCGTAATAGCAATGTTTTCCTGAATACCTCCTAAAAGACCTGCCTGAGGCTGACTTGTCGTCCACTCGCTTCTTTTGTAAGTAGAAGGAGTACATCATAAAATAACAGTAAAAAGTATGGATAGTGCAGTAAATGCACAGGTAGTATCTTGGTGACATTATGAAACCCTCTTTACCATCTGGAACTGCGTGTATCACACTTTGATACGACCGGAAGCACAGGAGCTCACTCGCACTGTCCGCACAAATACGGTTAGGGCATAGCACTATACTGCAGGGTTACTACACTTTGATGACAAGTGAACGATTTATTATTAACTCCGCCACAATTACAGGGTACCAACACCTTAAATGTGGCTTGTGGTGGATCCAAACATTATCAGAGAAGTCACGTGTAACGTCTCATGCCTATGAATGAAAGAAAGAAAGAAAGAAAGAAAGAAAGAAAGAAAGAAAGAAAGAAAGAAAGA